CCCGATGTTGAGGGACAGTTAGACTACAGTGAAACACTGTACAACTTGTCTGCAGGATACATGTACCAAGTCTCTATACGGACCATTAAAACCATCGGCAACCTATCGGCCTATAGTACCTGGGAGTCTGCATCTAAAACAACAAGTGAGTTCACTCAGAACATCTAAATATTGGTACTACTTTAGCTAACAAAGCTTAAAAGACCTCTTGTCATCTCTTTCTTCAAATCACTTCTTTTTAATGATATAATTATATAATGTGTAATTGGTTCATGCCTGCATGGTTAGTAGAAAAGATCTAGAGCTAGGTGCAAATTAATACACCTGCAAAATAAAGCTGTTTGTGCTCACTTCCTTTGTCCCGCCCTGCAAACAACCAGATAGGTATTCAGAATGGAAAAGTTTATCTCATTATTTCATTTTATGTCTGAATTTTATTCCTTGTATACAAAGGAATTTTTGTAAATTGCTTTATGAAACTCATCATTGTGAAGAAAACCCCCCCAGATAAATCAGCCATTATATATAAGAGAATTGAAATGTGGTTTCCAATGTTAGTTCAGTGGATACATTTTAAAAATAATTTTATTCCTTGTATACAAAGGAATTTTTGTAAACTCAAAAGAAAGGTGAGTTATTGTTCTTTTTGGAGTGATGGTGGTTCTGCTTATAGTAGAGGAAAACGTGATGTAAACTGAAGTGATTTGGTAAAATGAATCAGTGTTTGGTGTCGGATTATAAGCTATAACATTGAAGTCATGCATGCTCATTACCTCATCTTCCTGTCCCATCCATGTTTCCATGGTGATCCTATCCAATTCAAAACAAAGGTCAAAGGTTGATCAAATGCATTTTTGGTTTGTAAAAATGGGGCAAAGTTGTGTTTCCCTAGCTTATTGTAAAACCTCACAATACTTAGGTGACTTATAATTACTTTGATTATTTCATATTTTGTTATTAATTTAGTTGATTGTGAATCAAAGTTTCTTGAGATAATATATGCACATTTGACCTGGACTGGTACAAAACATTGAATAAAGACCTAGATATTATGAAAAAAAATTAACAACTTTAACTTTTTTTCCAGCACCATTATTTTTATTCCACAGTTGTTTAGTTTTGATATTTTGTTGCGTAAATATTAGAATTTATAAAACTACAGCCTAATACAGTGATTCCTGTCTGTAAAGACCATCTGGCTATTATTACCACACAAAATTATCAAGCGTGCTGTTTTCTACATGGTATCACATTCTGTCTATAATATGTCAACGTTACTGTCAATTGATTACTTGTACCTGACTGAATCGCTTGAAGATAAAAAGCATATGTTATATACAGTGTATCAAATAACTGAGATGGGATTGAAAAAGTAACTTGATATAAACAGGTACATAGTATTTGAAAATTCAACTTGATTATAGCAAAGTTTGACTATATGGTTTGTGTGGTTAGGTATATAGAATAGAAATGAGCTGAGCTGCTATGTTCAGTTCTATATTAGATCGTCATATAATGATTTTATCTTTAACCCTGTTACTTAAACAGAGCCGAAGCCTGTCCTGACTCTCATGGCTGTCCTGATTGGTCGAGATGTAAAACTCCTGTGGACACCGGATCCAGAGAGCACTCAGGATCACTACTATGTTTTGTACAGGGGCACAATCGCAGGGGCCAACCCAAGTTGGGACCAGACACTGTCCAATAACACAGAACTCCAGGTGACAGGGCTGTTCCCCGGGGAACGCTATGACATGTTAGTTATCGCTGGCAGCTATGGAGAAATGAGTCCTCATAGAAATGTTTCTGTTCAGATTCGTAAGTATCAAGTTCACACGCCACTCTAAGACAATACTAGCCCATTTTGGCTTTGAAATGGGGGAAAAAAATATGGAATTCCAATTTTGAAAACAAGATGATTTTGAGAATGAGGTAGAAATTACTTATACTAGCTATAGATTGACATTTGATGAACCTGTAATAAATGTGAGAATAAATGATTACATTTTTCAATTCATTTCTTTTCCTAGCTCCTCTTGCACCCACTGATCTCCTAATCAACACGTCCTTGACAACAGAGAGTACCCTGTCACTGTCATGGTCGTATAACAGAAGTGCCACATTCATTGAGGAGTACAAACTTGACTACCAGAGCTACCGGTCCAGTTTTGTTCAAACAATGACCATCCCTCATCCCAATGACACAGTAGAAGACCTTAACCTTGTCCTTGGAAATTTGACCTCTGGCGAAACTTACAAGATCACATTGAAAAGTAGTACCAATGATGCCTACTCAGAAGAAATTCTCAGAAATGCTACTGTCCGTAAGTTG